AACAAAATCAGTGATTGAACTAAGTAATACTTTTTTTTTTTTAGTCAGAATTGAGGTAAGGAGATGAATTTTTTTTGCAAGTCTTTTCACCTGGTTGGCAATGCAGCTCCAAAGAGGAGCTCCAGAAATGTTTTTAGCCATAGCAGCACCCTTGAAATAATTGTGTGTTCACCTAGGGGGACCATCTTGATAGTCAGTGATCATTTGGATATAAAACTTCTGAGTATAGTAGCATAATATATATGTATACATATGTGGATGCATATATCTGTTGTACTTCCTCAGGTTCTCTCAGAACATATGCCCAATACTGCAAAGAAGAAAGACTGATTTTAAAAATATCTATACCTACATACATTTACAAATGCATATATGTATGTGAATATATTAAAATATGCAAGTTTTAAGTGTGAGTATAATATATATGTATATATTATACTAAATCACATATGTTTTCCTCAGATTCTTTCAGAACATATATGTATGTATATATTTTAATATTAAAAACACAATAATTTAATATATTACTTAATTTATTAATTTGATGAGAATTAAAAAATATACACAGGTATATATATAAATTAGTCTATACATATTTTAATCAGCATACATACATATATGTATACATATATTTTAAATCAGTCTTTTTTCTTTGAAGTATTGGCATATATTCTGAGAGAACCTGAGGAAAACATATGTGACCTATTATAATATACACTACTATACTCAGAACTTGTACATCCAAATGATTATTGACTATCAAGATAGTCCACCTAGTATTATATATATACACACATATATATACATATATGTATATACACATAGACACACATACATATATATGTATAGGAATTATATGTATGTGCATACATATATTTTTTTTAATCAGTCTTTTTTCTTTGCAATATTAGGCATGTGTGCTGAGAGAACCCAAGGGAAACATACATTCCCTAGTATAATTGGTATTTCTTCTATGTAAAGCAATTGTAATTTGGGTGAATTTAGTTGGAAGTGACATTTGAGATTGACCTTTACATACAAGTGGATACCAGGTTCACTCACAAGAGCTGTAGATTAGGGAAAACTCTCCTACCCATCACATTTGCTCTAGGGACATACCTTTTCCCTACACTGTAAATGTAGAGTTATTTGACAATGTTTAAACTTATTTCAATATCCCCAGAGAGAACATGACTTAATGACATAGTTTTTAATATAGGGATAGAAAAACTTCATGATTAGGAAAGGAATGTGGACGTTCCTACACACTTCAGCACACACACATACACACACACACACACACACACACACACACACAATGGTGGGACTTGGGGAGGAGACCATGATAATTTCAATGAAAGCTTAATAAGATAACAGACTGAGAGAAGAGATAAAAATCATAGAAATAGGAAAATTGGAGGAAGCTGGGTCAAATATTCTAATTTCTCACTCTTTTTAAATAGAATAATGAAATCTTGATTCTTAAAACCTGACCCTTTCTACCAGCCAAACTATTCATATATGAAAGAAGTACCTTACACAGGAAAGGGGCATCTCAGGCTTCTCAGCCTCAGTGGTCCCTCCTGGTACCTACTCATTGCTCCCACACCAAATAACATAGCTCACTA